GTCTTCACAAGACTGTCAGGTGGATACTCATTAAGTTTTGCATTGGTTCTAATTTATGAAAGGTGAGAGTTTAACTGCCCCATCAGATATTCGTTAATATTTTAATACCAAATTTCGAATTTCATCTGGGCCTCGAATTTGCATAGCTTTTTGTGCACTAGTTGATTTCTGTTCTCTGAATTTTGTAAGTACTTTTCTGGACTTTTTATTTAAAAAAAAAACTGATAATATTATGGAGTCTAAAAAGAGGCATATCAAGAACTGTGCTCACCATAGAAACCAAGAGATAATAGCCAAGATACAAAGTGGACAGAAGATGTCTGTTGATGCTAGGACGTATGGCTTCAACAGGTCTACAGTAGGCAAAATCTTAGCTATGAAAGATATATCAAGAAGTCTCAAGAGGCTAAAGGAGTAATGAAAATCACTTCTGAGAAATAAAGAGCAGTGAAGAGCTCATAATGGAACCTGAAACTGATGTGACAACAGAAGAACTCCAAGAATACTTAAATAAAGAACACAAAGAAACTCAGCAAGATGTTTCTTTTGAAAAAGACGATGATGAAAGAGGACCAATATCGACATCTGCTACTAAAGATCTTTTGAAGAAGTGAGAGGATGTCAGAACAATGGTCATCCAAATGGCATCCAAACCAGGTTGAGGTTATAGGCTTGAGGATCTCTACAATGACAATGCTATTGATTACTTCTGAAAAATCCTGAAGAGAGAAGCAAGTAAAATTGGACACATTCTTTAACCTCCCACAAACAGAAAAACAACATAACTGATAATGCAAGACTGTATATATATATACACACTTTCTTACAATGTTTATTTACATTTTACATGTATATATATATATTTTTTTTTTTTTTTTTGAGGTCTCCAGAACAAATTAATCAAAATTCCCATAAAAAACCTATGGTAAATCAATAATCAATTAACGAACAATTCAGGTAGTAAACAGTCTTAGAACAAATTATGTTCATTAACTGATCACCCACTGTATTCATAATTTATTCTGTTTAACATAGTTAATATAAATTTAGAACCAAAGCAGGTTTAAGTAATGATTTGAGAAATTCCTTGTTGGCCTTCAATTTTCAATTGCAGATCTATACATTCACTGTTATCCATCTGTCTGTCCTTTATATTAATCTTGAGAATAGAATTAGATAGATTAAAATGAGAACAGATATGGAAAGCTTACACCCAATTGACTATGTAGGAACTTCTGGTCCGAACTGGAATTGCGATTTCAATTCAAAATTTTCTAAAAAATGGAGTTAGATGACCAGCAATGTTATCAGAAGTATAATGTGCAGGAACAAGACATTAAAATTCAGACCAAATATGGAAAGCTTAGGGGCTAGAGATTCCAATTAACTATATATGAACTTCCTGTCCAGACTAGAAGTCACATGACTTCTTTTAAATTAAAAGATTATTGTCACAATGCCAAAGCCGCAATTTTTAATGTCACAATAAATATAAGACTAATTAATTAATAAATTAATTAAATATCTTAAATTTTAAAATATGAAATTTAAAGTTATTATTCAAATTTGCCTGAGGATTTGTGTATTTATATATTTGTTTTGTTACTTGTTTGATGTGTGTTCAAGAACTATTTATGGAATAAGACTTATGTATAAAAGGTTAGCCTTTGGTCAATAATCTTTTATTTTGTATAAGTGTAAGATTTGGGTAGCTTTTGTAATCATTTACTTTATAATTGTTGAAATGGACATAACATAAATAGAAGTTTTGTAATTGTATAATAAACTCTGATGATAAATTTTTTTACTGTTGGTAAAGTTTTCTAATTTTTGTGATCTATGGTTGTATTGCTAGTAAAACATTTGGTGGATTTCTTCCTAACCACCATCCACACTGCCACAGTAGCCATATGCTGTTTTCTTAAGCATATTTATGTACATAAAACTTACAAGTTCTTCTTTTTGAAGGTATTTGTTAATAAAATTATAGAATAAAAATGTCTATTATTAACAAAATATTTATTATTATTATTAATTTTTAATTTCATTTTTGGTAGATCAAAACAATAACTTTAACTAGAAACTTTTCAGATCCATGATCACGCTTAGAATTAACAAACATGACAATGTATTTATTACATTATTATTATTATTATTATTACAAATCTTCATATACAGTATAGTCATGCTAATCTAAACCCCTCGTCACATAAACCACTTGTAATCCATACAGCTTCTACCATTCCCCTAACTAAAATAATGGACTTGTCAACTGTACATTTGCAGCTCATTTGTAAACATAAGTCACACATAATGAGCATTCCTGCTTATTATGTCTACATCCCTGTTTAATTTAATAATTTTAATCTCTATCTATTGTTGTAAAGTATCTTACAAAACAAAAGATGACCTCAAAACATAAGCATCATATCCTTACTATCATATTCACATTAATCTGAACTTTTCAATAATTTGAAACTATCAGAAGTCTCAATTAGTTCAGATTAGTATGCCCATACTACAGTCGACCCCCTCTATAACACTGTTGATTATTCCGTTTTATATGAATTCCATGTTGTACGAGTCAATTAGATTTTACAAATACGTGAGCCGTTCACAGCCCGGCACACGTATTTGTAAAATCTAAGTGACTCGTACAACATGGAATTCATATAAAACGGAATTATCNTTTGTAAAATCTAAGTGACTCGTACAACATGGAATTCATATAAAACGGAATAATCAACAGTGTTTTAGGGGGGGGGTCGACTGTATATTCAGAAATCAATGAAGACAATTATTATAAAAAATTTAAGCTTTATGATAGCATAACATTAAATAAAGACTAGAAAGTTAATTGAACCTCATGCTAAATAATAATCTAATGTACTATTATGATGTAACTTGTTCTGTCTTACAATGTTAACCAAACATTTTATTCAAAAATTTCCAGCACTTTCAATAGTTTACAACTATTCTATTCAATTCCTACTATTCTATTCTATAACTATTCTTAACTGTTGATGATTTAACTGTCTTATGATGTTAAAACCAACATCATAAGACAGAATATGTTACATCATAACATTACACTAAATAAAGAGTTTAAATTTTAAATTGTTCAAATAAATCCTAAACATATTTATTAAAAAATTTCCTATTATTAATCTTTATGAAACTATTATAAATTTAATTACATATAAAATTTATTCGTATAAAAAAATATATATAAATATTAAAACAATTACTACTTACATAGAGAAATAAAAACCTGAGTATACGTTTGTGTGTTAAGATATACAACACATTTCCTGTATTTGGATTAATGACTGGAAGCCTATGGACTTTACTGTGGATAAGTGTCTTAATGGCTTCAAAAAGGCTGATAAATACAATTAAGTAAATTTAGAAAAATTCTAAATTAAAATATATTATTAATTCTGAAATTTAGCTAATTTGTTCAAACAAAATGTTTTAATTAAGAATTAAATTTTATCTGAACTATTACAAAAATCTACATAAAGAATGAATTAATAGTATATCTAAAAAATAAAATCAAGGGATATGAGGAAACAGTAAAATTTATAAAAATCCAACAATGAATTGCATAACTTTCCCAGCAAAAAAATTTAAAGTAGTGGTAGTGCCATTTGTTATATGTTAAAAACATTTTATATGATTAATTATTATAAAATGGCACAAAGCTTAATTTTGAAACTAGAGATGAGTTTTATAAAAAAAAAAAAAAAGTAAATACTAATAATAAGTAAAATCTTCATTAAATCTGATCCTACTCAAGATATGATACATGACTATTTCCCCCACCTCTTGACTTTTATACCACCATAATTTAATAGCATCAATCTCCTAATAAAGAAACCTCCTTGTATAATTTCAGAAAGTTTTGACAAAAGACACTGGAGTTATTAAGCTTCAAAATGGTTAAACAAATTTCTGCTTCCACACATACACTATCATACATACATGTGGGGGGAATCCAGATTTATTTGCATTTCTTGACATATCAAGAAATGCAAGTAAATTCCAGTCCAAAAATGTAAAAATGTTGCAGGGAGTAATTTTTTGACCAACTGCCAAACTTTCTCTATATTACATAAAACAACCAAGAAAATAATATAATTTGATTCATTTGATATCTGCATGATAGAAAATTCAATATATTTAAACACAAACAAAGTTATCTGATTATGCTAAATCACAAAATAAATAAATACCTTGCATCAGGTTCAATGCTGACTAGAGATCTTGCTTTTTCTTTTAGTACATCTGAAAATTCATAACAAAACTTTATTCTTCTTTTCATTAATATCAATTTTTTATATATGATAAACACTAAACAAGGTTTGAATAATAATTCATGTAAAAAAACTCAATGAAATAAATAATTATTATATTGTTTACTTAGTAATTAATAAAATAATTTGATTGAAAAAGTTAAACAAGTGATTAAAATAGATCATCTTCCTTAGGAATAGTCAAAACATTAATTTCTGTATTGTAAATTAGAAATATTACTTTAAAAGTATGCCATTTTAATCATCATAAATTATTAATTACAAACAATTGCATTTTGTTTGATATTAAAAATTAATCTAATAAATAAATATAAATTTTATAAATTTATTAAGCAAGTATAAACTTATTGATATAGTTCTCATGACTCATTTTTTACTCATATTTGGCATTTTGTACAGGAAAAAAATTCACATGTAGTATATTAAGATTGTTATAATCCTAATATACTACATGTTTTCATTAAAAATATTTTATTAGTAATTATTATTATATCATATTAAATTAATTCTTCCAATTAATCAAATACATCTAACAGGAAAATTTTATTGAAAAGATTTTAATATTTTATTCAATGAAAAATAAATTACACATACTACAAATTCATATTGTCATTTAATATATATTAAGAGAACATAAACTGATATAAGAGAAATCAAAGATGATGTCAATTACTAATATTGTACTACTACTAATAATTTATCAAGGATGCAGAATATTTTCAAGACACAAAATTTTATCAGAATATAGATTTTACATACAAAATTGTTGCACGTTAGTAGAAAAACATATTATGACGGAGTTAATAATTAATATGTGGTTTGAAATATTTTAATTAAAATATGCAATTCTTTAAATAGACACATAATATAATTTGCCACACAACACTAAAAATGATAAATTAATTTAAGTTTTTTTTAGATTAAAAGAATGCTTTAAGTATACATCATCACAAGATAGCATACATGATCATAAACTTAATGTAATATGTTGATTAATGCAGGCCTCAGAGTGCCATTTTCCCTCCAAAAAAGTGGGAAAAGTGAGTTGAAATACAGAAACAGTGAGTAAAAAGTGAGTGTAATAGTGACAAAACTAAGCAAAAGCATGGAAGGAAAACTCAGCAAAATAGCAGTAAAAGTTTTTTTTTCTCTTTTTATTCTGTTATGGTTAAATACATTTTAAAAATTTCTGTATATATAATAGCCACTTATATCGTGTTATATCGTGAATTTGGATATTTTTTTTTTGGGGGGTCCTCCAAATTTTAAAATACCAACTGCCATTGAATTTCTATTTGCAACAAAATACAGTATTCATATTTCTATCATTATCCTTAAAACTACCACTGAAGGTGAAACAATAAATTCATCAAGATCTATATATGCAAAACAGATAGATATATCAATTGTCATTTGTTTCGTTTTGATATTAAAAATTGTTTATTTATTAGTTTTAAGTACCATCTCCTTATTTACAAGTTTCTGTCAATTTGAAATTTTACACCTTTATGAAAATTGAAGGTATTGCATCAATTCACATAAAGGTGTGAAATTTCGAATTCACTGCATAATGTGTAAGAAAGATTTCTTTAATTCTGAACAGAAAGTTTTTATACAGAACTAACTTTATTTTGTTTTTTAGAGAATTTTTACTCTCTGTAATTTTAAAAGGTTTGATGGTTCTATTAATAAGCGATTTATTTTCACAATAAATCGCTTATTAAATACTGTATAATAAAATCGCAAGTGATATTTCATTTTTATATCGATAGTATTTGTCTTTATATGTCATTGTTAAAGAAATAATGCTATATGTGCGTTGGTGGTATCAATGTTTATGTAAATGTCAATTAATACAATATAACCAAGAATAAAGTTCAGTATTAAAAACTAAGCTGATTGCATAGCATGTATAATCTGTTTAGTATAAGCTCAGAATTTTTACTACTCAGTTATATTACTACTCAGTTATATCGTACTTTTTTCTGTCTCCCGACAAGCGTGATATAACAAGAAGCTACTGTATTTCCAGTAAACTATAAATACTTATAATACTTACTACCCAGAATAATTATACTTGTAGTCAATTTATACATACATTTAGGAATATATAGACGTAATTAAATGTTAACAACATGCTATGAAATCATTAAAATAACTTTATTCTATTTAACTCAAGTTTATGAAATTATTTAAAGATATATAAAGTAAAAAATATTCTTGTAAATGACAACTCCATAACCCAATTGTTAATTAAAACCAAATGATTTGCCAAATTATTGGGCTATAACAAAAATAATTAAATGGTCAAAAATGAAATAATTTGTCTAGAAGTAGGAGGTTATGCCACTGTCTCATGTTAATTTTAATAATTATAATATATTTTAAATTTAGAAGCGGCAGCAGTGTTGTCAGCTTGAGAGATTAATCCCTTGGCATAGCGTGTTTTTTCTCTACAAAGATTTTCTTAGAAAACAGCCAAAAACATAGGAATGCTTAAAATACTTATTTTTAATTGCCATAGATAGAAATGCAACTTTGAAGAACTAGATTTTGGTTAATAATGACAATATGGCATGTGTACATAACTTTAATTGATATTGACTCAATTTTGGCTTCTGAATTTGTAACGAGAGGTATTTTTTAAGTGCATGAAAGACCTACATACATGAAAGGAATTTGTATCCTATAACCTAACAACATTAAGCAAAAGTTGCGATTTTGAGTCCTGCTCAGGTCCGAGTATTTTCTTCCAGAAAATTCTAGTCTGATAGTTCGATAATTTCGCAGATCATTTGGTTTTAAAATTATTTTTGATTGGTCCCACATCTTAATTGAGCACGTGGAAATGATCAAAAAAGTGAGAAAAATGACCTGAAAGGTGAGAAAAGTGAGGATACTTCAAAAAAGTGAGTACAAGTGAGAAAAGTGAGTGACTCCAAGGCCTGATTAATGGTAATAAAATTAGAATCAAATGTGACAGGCATCATTACTAATACCACAAGGTACCTAATTAGAATTTTTAACACAAGGTTCTAATTAGCAGATTTTTTAGCATTCAAACATGTAAAATTTCTTTACAATGTTGGTCATGCATATTAATTCAAGCTGACATGAAATTTTACCCATTAAATAGTATTGAAAAGAGTTTTGAAATAAAAACAATTTTATTAATTTTAAATTTTCACTGGATGATGAAATTTTCTTTAAAAAATAAAAAGATGTAGTCATTTCAAAAAAAAAAAAATTTCTTTTTTGTTTCCTTTTAACACTTTCAGGACCGATCCTTTAGGTGTCATATTTCTGTGGACAGACCTTTGTTGACCTTTTTAAAAATACTGCCTGTTTGAAAATGAACAACTTTAATATAGGCTAGTCATAAAAACCATATTTTTTTTTTCAATTTAATTTGATATATAATAAGTAAGAATTTGTTAATATAGATTTGATTTTCATAATTTAAATATGTATACAAATGCAAAAACCAATATTTTTTGCCTTTATTTATAATTGCACCATTTGAAAAATGCATCTTCAATTCTAATTGGGTAATGGTTTGTTTTAATTCTGTTTATTGTTTTCTGTCCTTTGACAAAAATATGATGATGATGTGTGCAATGAACATTTAGTTTTTGTTTCATTTATGACATTCCAAAAAATGTGCAAATTTCTACACATTAAAAAGTGCATTAATCCACAATAATTTGATGTTTATACTTATTTACTTAAGTGTATTTATATTTTAAGAGAACTAAACATTAAATTATTTAATAATAATAGTAATAACTTTAAACGGAAAAAAAATGACAAAAAAAATTTGATAAAAGTTAAAAAAATTTTGATATTGATTTCAAATTTTGAGTACCTCTTGACAAAATTTTAATGAGCTTGAAGTATATTTCTTACAAAAGGATGATGGTCATAGGAAATACAAGCAGACATGTTTAGACCAAAGGTTACAAGAAAGTTATGGGATAGTGCTGGGTCAAGATCATTCCTTTATCTCATATAATTGCTGCCCAGAAAGTTTTAGTGTTATTTTGGTAAAAATCAAAACTATGGTTCAGTAACTGAGACCAACTTATCCCTACTGCATGCACATAGCTGTTTAAGTAGGAAGCAATGTAATAAATATCTGAAGTGATAAACAAAGTATCAAAATAGCACTCTCTCTCATCATCCCTCACTATCAGAAATCTGCTATATACTACACAAATTCCCCCATGTTCATAAATAATTGGAACCAAGTAATCTTAATTTAACATTGAATTCCATTTTCAATGTTAAATTTATAATTCCTTCCAAAACTTTACAATATTACTACTGTTTTAAAAAAATTTCAAAAAAAAATGAATGGCTTTATTAAATAAATATACTGTATATTGGTTTATAGTGCACAAAAGTCATTTTATTTAACTCAAAAGAAAAGGAAAAAAAAACAGTAACACAATTTATGACAGATCCCATACAAATAAGTAAGTGCGGTGATCTTTTAGTGTTGCACCTGCTTGAGCATCCAATTCACATGGGTTACATACTACTGTAAACTGGAGATGGTATCTCCAATTTCTCAAAAGTTGATATTTTGGTGTATAAATTTCTGATCATGAATAATCAAATTCTCAAACATTGAAGTCCACAAAGATCAATAGTGTATAGAGTTGGGGACACATCACTCAAATGCACACCAGACACTACAGCCAACACTGCCTCACTATGACAAATGCCTCACACAATGTCTGTGCACATCTAATATTCTTATTTTTAACTTATTTAAATATTGTGCATTCTAATTTCACTTTTAAAATATAGGATTTCCCTGAATTTTGGCAAATTTCTCCAATTAATATCTATAGACTTAGCCAAGATGCTACTCCATTTTATTGTAATGTTTTTGCAGCTATTGCTATTATTACTACTTTTCTACCACAAATTTTCCCAAGATTGCTTTAATTTCCACCAAACTTCCTTTGTGCAGTCAAACATATTTTGCACCCTGATATTTATAAAGATTTTAAAACTTTACAAAAATATTACCTCTCCATGTCTCAATTTTATGTTCTTCTAATTCATCCATATGTACCTAAAAATCAAATTCACTTTTAAACATTCATATGATTACTATATAAAATACAAATTTTAATGATGCCAAACAAAATTTAATCAAAAGGAAAACTTACCAATGGAGATTTATAATATGTTCTTAAAATATTGATGAAATCTGTTATGGTTAGCATTCCTATTAAATATAACAATAAATTTTTTATTAAAAATTTAAACTTTCTAAAATTCTATCAACTACTATTCATATACTCTGAAAAATATGAAAAGAATACTTATATTATGGAATTAAAAAACATATATACAAGGATATCAGATAATAAATATCAAGAAATTAAACTGAAGGAGTTTGAAACTACATTTATACTTAATGACTATCCTAAATTGAAATTAAATACATGGCATAAACAATACTGGAAAAACAGATATAATACAAAATAGACAAAAAATATAAAACCTTCTTCTACATAAAAAAGATTTTCAAGAGTTGTAATAAGATCCTTAAAAAAGATAATATGAGTTTAGCCTCATATTTCACCAACAAAATATCACACATTTATAATAACATTAATAAACAACATAACAATAAAATAAACAATCTTAAAAATGTAGGAACAGTTTATAGAGTGGAATGTAACTGTTATAATTTGAAAACTTATATTGGTGAAACAGGCCATTTATTAGAAACAAGAATAAAAAAACATGAAGCTGTAGTTTGACTTAGATATAACACTTCCCCATGGTATAATCACATATTAAATAATAATTGTCAAATCAATAGAAATAAAATAAAAGTTTCATAGTTTTAAGCAATATTGTTTTGAACATTCAATTTTTTAGGTAATCTTTTCCTTTCTTAATGACCATAAGTCATTAATTGTTGTTAAATTTTTGTTTCTGAAACAATAAATCTTGAGATATAAGCTATATTTGTTTCAAATTTACTTATGTTTGAATTATTAATAAATTACTTTAAAATTTTGCATATTGTAAAATGATGGATGGAAGCCAAGATTTAAAATCATCTGTTGTCTAAGCTGCAATTTTTTACAATTGAGATGTGCTTCAGATATATCCTTCTTTAAAGTAATCTTTTACTCATAATATAACATTATGTGCTTAAATATTGCTCTTTTTTCTGTATCTGAAATAGCAGTATGATTATCTAATAAAATAATAGTTATAAAGACTATTTTTACAAACTGTGGCTAAAAATGTATTTATAATCACATTAAGATATGGCTTATGGGTGTTAAAAAAACAGAATCAACACTAATGCAATTTAATGATGCTAGTTAATGTCATAAAATGTGATTTCATATAGCATTGTATATATGAGACTAACAAAAATTTTAACTTTAGACTTTACAGAAATATGAGGTTAGAATTATTGACTTATATAGTCCCAAGCTAGAACCAACTATTCTGAGTGATTTAAAAGGTGCAACTTTGTAGAGAATGACTTTTTGTGGGTCTGATTATAGTTTACACAGCAATGACAATACCATTACAAACAGTATATGAGAGTAGAAACAATGTTGTATACCTTTACTTATGCTCTGCCATTTACATCAGTGATACTTAAAGCATCAACTATTGGAAACAGAATGTGGTATAGTTTTCATTTATTCTGAATTTTTAGTACATTAATCTCTGTGCTAAATAACTTAAATTCTACAAACAACAGTTTTAGATGAAAATATTTGAAAAAAATAGAATTAAGTTGTGCACAACCCGTTATTAACAGCACTATTTCATTTGTTTCCCACTCTAAATTAATTAAAGTTTGCATTTACATTTACTTTGTAAATTAACACTAGTTTGTGAGCAATATTTTGTAGGCTTAAAAAATTGATTTATAAACTGGTACTAAATTTTGCCTAAAAACAATTTGCACTAATTTATAAACTGGTACACTGCATAACATAACAGCAGCCTAACNAATAATCTTAGTTCAATCTCATTAAAATCAATATTTACAAAAATTATGCTTAAAATTTTTTTCATTACTCAAATTATCAGAAATTAAATGCTTACCATTTTGTACAAGAGCAAAAAATGCTTTTTTCACCTGAAATTAAATAGAGAAGTAAAGATTAATCTAATTGACAAAATTAAATAATATAATCATTAGTACAAGTACAGTGGTCTCTATAGTCTGTCATTTACCAGTCCAACACCCAGCAGAGTAGTGCAAATGAAATTTTCATGTTATAATTATAACTTGTCAATGAATATGACAGAGAGAACAGAGAAGGACTGATATACATATATACTGTCAATCACTAGTTGTTTGTTGCACTTGCAACTGGTAAAACAATCATAATCATGATAATTACAATAAAATAACCTGTGAACCAAGGGCAATTTTTACTGTGCAGTAAGTATGCATATACATACAAAATCCAATAATCCAACAATCTGCTGTAATCCAGTACAGATGGTCTGATATATGTCAGATTACAGAGACACTACAGTACTCCTAAATTTTACAAAATATTAGATCTTTATTTTTACAGTTATTTCAATTTAATGATATACAGGTAACCCCCGTATAACACGGTAGTTACGTTCCAAAAAATTGCCGTGTTATGCGAATCCGTGTTATACGAAACAAAGAACTAATACGAAAAGGAGGGTTAGGTTCCAAAAATTAAAAAACATGCTAGTATATTTTCATAATTAAGATAAATATCTTCATTAAAATTTTTTTAAGTGATACATATTAATATAAATTAAACAATGTTTTCTTCGTCATCACTAAAAACACTATTAATTAACCGAGAGCGTTTTCTTTTTGGCAAGTTATCCTTATCCTCTGAGCATTTTTCTGCATTATCTTCAGATCCATGCTTTACCTTTTGCAAAATGTATGTAATTTTAGATTGCTTGCTTCTAGTTAAAAGGTCTTTATAAATTTCCTTATATGGTGCTAAGCACTTATGAAGAATAAAGCAAGTATGGAATAAGGGAAAAACATTCGGCAACATCAGAAGCAGAAGCATCGCGATCTGGCAATATTGAAACAAGTTTCGAGAAGGACCACCTGTATCGACAGAAGGCGAGAAGAGAAAATTTACATACTTAAGTACTAATAGTTTACGAAAAATAATTTTCGTGAACTATTATTAGTTAAGTATGTAAAAATTTATTACATTTCCTGTTGTACAAGGGTTTTATCCAATTCTCGAACCGTGTCAGAGTGAATCCGTGCTATAAAAGTACCGTGTTATAGGGGGGGATGGTACCAATTCTTGAACCGTGTTAGAGCGAATCCGTGCTATAGAAGTGCCGTGTTATACGGGGGTTACCTATAATCCATAATCAATAATCAAAAAGTACTGCTTAATGGCACATAAATCCCAATAAAATAAAGTCATCTTTACAGAGGATGTCCCATAAATTATCAGCCATTTAGCTAGAAGAAATTTACTTATTATAAAAACTACATGAACTAATTCTATTGTTTGAAATATGGACTACTGTTATCCATAGTCTGTATCCATCTTTCAGCTAACTCTTGCATTCACTCTCTTGTACCATTTTTCATTTGAACAAAAAAAATTCTTGCACTGTAATCTCAAATTGCTCCAGATTTTGGAAGCATCATCAATGTAAAAAGTATGCAATTGATGAAAAAAGTAATTTGATGATGCAAGATTGGGACTGTAGGCAGAGTGTGGTAAAAGTTCAATTGTGTACAATATTTGCCATTGTTCTTCTTACTGTGCACAATTGTATATTATGTATGTATGGCTTACATATGTGATTTATGTATGTATTCTATTATTAGTTTCAAATTGGGTACAGTAGAATACCATTGTTTTAACACAGCATACATATGTTCAAGTTGAGAGGAGTAAAGTTCAGCAGTTATGTAATGATTAAACAACATGGAAAGAGAGTGTCTCCTTGCCTGTCTTGTAGTTATCTTGAAGAGTTCTGTCAATTTGTTTCCAACCCTGAGTCTTTTTCTATACATATATTTGTCATTTTTATTAATTTCTCAGCTATTTCAAATTCAGCCATTATTTGCCATAGTTATATGTGATTGATGTCATATGCTTTAGTGAAATCTGTGTATTGGTGTACCTGTTTGTACTCATACTTCTTTTTCAGCTACTGTCTTAGGGTAAATATCTGGTCAATAGTTGACCAATTCTGTCTAAACCCACACTGATAATCCCCTAAGATATTTTCTATATAAGATGTTAGCCATTTGGAAAGAAGCATCAACAGTATGTTGAAGTATGTTGTATGTTGTAACAGTATGTTGTTTTCAGTAATGATATTCCCCTGCATAGCTCTTTGCTTCTATTTTTGTGGCTGGGGCAAATGATTCTTTCCATTTGCCTGTAAGTTCATCATTATTCCAAATATTTAGTAAGAGCTTATGGCCTTCCTTTTGAAGACATTTACCTTCCAATTTGAACAATTCAGCAGGTATACCATCACCTCCTGGTGCCTTGTAGTTCAATTGAGATATACTAAACTCTATTTCGTAACCAATAGTTCTTCTACTGACATGTTTACATCATCTTGGCCTGTTTTATCTACAATTATTTCCACGGATCAAATCCTGTGCCTTTTGTGTGTCTTGGCTTTCTTTTACAATGCTCAACAGATCTTTGAAGAATTCTCACACCTATTCAGGATCTTGTCCACTTCTGTTATGATCTTGTCATTTTAATCTTGTAATTGTCATATATTATTTAGATGAATGTAAAGATATTGTGACAATATGGAAAAATGAACTTTTTACTTTGCTTTGTGAAAATGTGAAAAATCAACCGTTTTTAAATCACAGACTTTATAACTCTGAATTTACTTTGAACAAATTTTTATCTGTTTTATCTACAAGTATTTTCTATTTGTATAATTATTTGTGATAAATATCTTTTGGCAATGTAGAAATTCAATATAAGATATAAATACAGTAGAACCTCGATTATTCAGACTAATTGGGGATGAATGTAGTCCAGATTAGGAAAAATTCAGATAATCGAAACAAATACTTTAATTTATCTTTTAATGATAATACAACACGTTTTCTTTTCGACGACATATCGGTAATATTAAAAATAAATACTGTATTTAAATTGTGATCAAATTTTCAAGAAAAATGTTCATATTGAATTTGGACTACTACTGACCAGCACTAACAGACTACCTATTGTTTAAAAGGCCCTCTGGTGGCGCAAGAAGACTGATCTTATAAAATAAAAAGCAGTTGAAACTGCATTTTTATGAATAAAAATTTGACAAACTATTTATCGTTTTATGACGAGTAAAACTTTTTTGTCGCGTTTGCGGCTTTTAAGTAATGCATAAACTTTCGAGGCGCGAGGCCCTTCAGACCGCGAGGCATAGGTGGTGGCCCACGTTGCCAATACGCCGCCCTTGGTCATAGAAATGATGTAATTTGAATATAAATTATTTATAAATACGTATGTCAAGTTATATTTTTATTATGACGCAAAATATATTTAAGAGTTTACGACCACTGTGCTGGGTGAGACATCGTTGAAACAAAAAAAGTTATGCATTCCATCATGTACATAAACAGTATCGTAATTCGCCAAGTGCAAATCAGCAAATTCATAAAATTTTTGTTTATTTTGACCAATCCGGTTAATTGAGGTTCTACTGTATACTTATAACAACTGTTGCAGTTAAATATGAGTTTTCAAAATTTTATTAAAAAATGGACAAATATATTACTGCTTTTGAAATTTATGGAAGAACATTACACTAGCAATTTTTCTCATTTTCCTTTGGCTATTTACTTGACTTGATTCTGTTTACCTTTAAATTTATTTTTGCTTATCTAAAAAATTATTTTTATTTAGGTAATAAAGTAATTATTTGCAATGCTTATTTAAATAACAAAAAAAAAAAGATAAGCAATATATATCTTAAACAACAACAACGATAATAATGAGGTTGTTTGAGAAAGCCATGAATAATTTTTTATTTGTTAGATTACACTCATCTGACTTAAATATTATCATGACCTTTTTCAAAATACTTCCTATCAAAAGAAATACACCTGTCCTAGCATCACAGTAGTTCATCAAGTTAAAAGGACATCTTTCTGCATGATCTTCAAAATTACTCTACTACTTTTAAAATCTGTCACTTTCCTGTATTTTGCATAGCACTAATCAGTGACAGAATGCTGGAATGATCCCATTTTGACGAAAGGAGCAGGCTGTCTAGAGTTATCACTTAATCAATTTTATACAGAGAAGTGATGCCATAATTTTATCATTCTTTTCTCTAATTCTTTGCTAGTAGATTTGAACATTTCAATTGGCAATTCCAACATCAAATGTTTTTAATGGCAATACAATTTTATTAACTGATTTTATTATTGCACATGCATCTTGTAATGACGGGGAATCAATAAATTTTGTTCTTTTGACCTGAACAAAAAGCAATGCAAGTCTTTCTTGAACAACCTTTGTAATAATAAAAGTAAAGCATATATTCATAACTTACTAATAATTGTGTATCAAATACAACCAGTTTGGCACTGATAGGTATCAAATCATAACATCGATAGTTTTTGAAAAATTTGGCAAAAATATGGTCTTCATCTTCCCCTATTAGAAATAAAAATTCTTGAATAAATAAAATAATGTACTATAACAAAATTATATCTTAAAATTAAATTAGTCATTAGACATATTTTTTTCCTTTAATTCGTACAGAACTAAAGCATTACCATTATTTTTTACATGGGTTATCTGTGTTTTAAAGTCAATTTGAAAGATGAGGATTACCTGTCAATTTTATATTTCAATTATAACCTCACCCAACACCTTTTTCTTTATCTAAATTTACTGAAATTTACTAAAGAAATTGTGAAATATCTGTTATACACTGCACACATTCATCTCCATTGATTTTTCCAGAAACCACTAAACCATATATGTTTTACCTTTAGTTGTCTTGTTTTCCACACACAAACCCATATTTTAATTATCATTAGACATTCCTATTTTAACATGTTTTAAAGGCTAATTTCATTCCTTCTCTATGACGACTTTCAAAAAATTATTTAGAAGCTGAATATCAATTTTAGCACACATTAACCTTCTATAGTGAATATGAGCTAAGCAATCAATCTACAAATTGTAGCACTCTATTGTAACGTCCATATGAAATTTTTTTAGTAAAAAAAAAATCAATAATAATTACATTAATTGCAATTATTTTATTTACCACTGATTTTTACTCTACAGGTTTATAACAGTCCTTCCTGCCAAGAACCATATTTTGACCCTAATCTCAATCCAGAAGGGAGCTCTTCCAAACATCAAATATGTTATAGATATTATCACAATCTTTTTCTAATTAATTTTTTCAGGTTTATAAATATATAATAATAAATATTAATCTTTTATTGGAGAGACTATTTTAACTTTTCAAAATTATTTTGGATGATTATTCAGTCAATCTTGATCATTAATTAAGACAGATTACTTGATAACTAATGCCAATAGGCTATAAATTTCAGCTCTTTACATCACTATAAAGTGAATTTTAACAACTAAAATAATTACACAAATTTAAAATGATATCCAAGCTTGACCAAGCAATGTATCATTTACAGACATTACTTTCTTCTATTTTGCTAACAAAACTAAAGAGAAAGACAATTTCATTACTATTTTAATTTATTTGCTCCATTCTTTAAACTGTACTTTAATTAATACAAGGGGTATTTTTATTCAACCTCCAATTTGTCAGGGAAAGAAAAATGCAAACAGTGAAGATCAAAACTGCTTTATTTACAAAAGTTAGACACACTTTTCAGCTACTTCTCTACATAATTGTTGCCATTTCAATTTAGGCACTTATCATACCATGGCACCACATTTTCTATATTCTCACCCAAGAGTTTGCCTCCAGGTAACTTACTAAATCCTTCAAGGTAGCCTTCCAACTCCTCATCAGTTTGGAATCCCTGACCTCCTAACCACCACTTCAAGTGAATGAACAGATGGAAATCACTTGGTGCTAAGTCTGAGCTGTACTGTAGATGAGCAAACACTTCCCATTTGGACTTCTGAAGAAGTTCTTATGTTTGTACTGTAGTGTGAAGACAAGCATTACTGTATAGCCTTGACTTAGCACTTAGCCTAAAATGTGTATCTAACTTCTGTAAATAAAACAGTTTTGATCTTCACTGTTCATTTTTTCCTGCAAAATCAAAGGTTAAATAAAAAAACACCCTTCATATAAAACCAACTTCTACAAAGTAAATTTGTAAACAATTTATTGTTAAATATTTAATATTTAAATTAAAATAAAAGTAACAATAAGATTTTTTAAATGTAAAAAATAATGGCAATGGTGTTAATTAAAAACAAGTAAATGAGAATAGCAATAGTCAACAATGATAAGGTGCAGTGAGACTGACCAAAGCTATTAAGCAATTAAATAATTTTTTAAGTACAGTAGAGCATTGATTATCTGAATCAATTGGGGACTGGGGTTGATCAGAAAATCGATTTTTCGGATAACCAATTATGTATGAAAAATATATTAACCTATCCCATGTTGAAATTCATTCAAATCCTGTCACGTCCTTAACTACCCTCTCATGATCGCGCCAGTGCTGCCAGCTAAAACACACACACCAACAAAAATAATATTGGAGTAGTCCAAGAAATAGCCAAAGATTGCAGCATCACAGCGCTAGTGAAAATATGCCAACTGGAAAGCTTTTGGTTAATTGACATTTCGATTGATAAATAATCAATGCTCTACTGTATATATATATATATATATATAATAAACAGCCAAAAGCCCAATACATTGATACCAACAATCACCATAATTAATCAAGCTATTGTCTTGCTATTACTAATAATTAGAAATTAAGTAATTTGGTAAATTTTTTACTATAAATTCATATTTATAAAAACAAATTTATAAAAATTGTTTTCTGTTAAACTTTGTAGCATTATCTGTAAAGCCAGTATAATAAGTCCTGATAATAGAAGATACAAATTTATAGTCGAAAATTTACATTTTAGTAAGAAAAAAGGATATTGAGGCATTTTAATTAAGTAATTTGGTATTAGAGATAGACGGTAGGTGCCATCTCTTATCTAAATGAATAATTATAATAATAATTAAATAATTTAGAACAGTCTGGAAGAAAAAAACTGGCCCGAAGCAGGATATGAACCTGCAACCTTTGCTTACTGTGCAATGTGCTGCCAATTATGTCACCCAGACCTCCGAGCAAGTCTTCACTTGCAGACATATTTAAACCTAGATATAACCATTCATGGTTCCTCCAGACTTTTCTAAATTATTTAATAAATTATTAATTATAATTATTAATTTAAATAAGAGATGGCACTTAATGTCTACCTCTAATACTACACTACTTAATTTTTAATTATTAATGATAGCAAAACAACAGTCCAATTAATTATGGCAATTTTTGGTTTAATTTTTTAAGTTATGGCAATAATAAAATCAATTTTCATATAAACTTTTTAAACAGTAATTGGATAAATGAAACAATTATAGATCCTGGATGATCTGACAATTACAATCTATAATTTTTATCATATGAAGAACCATATGACAAACTTAACAAACTTAAAATGTATGCCTTTAAAAAAATTAATACAGTAGAGTCTCGAAAACTCGGCCTAATGTGGACCGAAAGGTGGTCGAGTTTGTGAAAGTGCCGAGTTATCGGGAATGGGATTAAAAAAAATAAGTATGAGTGTTTCCTCAGAAAATACTATACTGTACTTGTATGTATTTGTAGGCACCAACGTGGGCGATGGTCGATTGGCACTACAATCCTTTGTTTAGTCGTAAGTAGCGGAGCTCTTGTCGAATACACCTGAACTGTGTCGTGGCAGGTCGAATAAGTGCGGTGGTCTGACGAAACGCTCACGTCATCCACGGGAGGCCCTCTGGTGGCAACTGTAGGCGTTAGCGCCTCAGTACTCCCCCGCGAGTGTCAACGATACTTTAGGTTGAAGCGTACCCGTCGTCCAGAGCGGGTTGTGACCGGTGGTTGGGTCTCGTCGAGGTCCGTTGGTGGTGGGGGTCTCTCTTCCGTGCTGGTTGGGGCGGAAGTTGTAGGGTCGGCGACAAAGGCTGGTTTGAGGCGGTCGATAGTAACCGTCACCTCCTTGCCGTTGATGTTAACCCTGAACGTCTTGTCGGAGCGCTGGAGGACTTGGAACGGGNATATTTAATATTTAAATTAAAATAAAAGTAACAATAAGATTTTTTAAATGTAAAAAATAATGGCAATGGTGTTAATTAAAAACAAGTAAATGAGAATAGCAATAGTCAACAATGATAAGGTGCAGTGAGACTGACCAAAGCTATTAAGCAATTAAATAATTTTTTAAGTACAGTAGAGCATTGATTATCTGAATCAATTGGGGACTGGGGTTGATCAGAAAATCGATTTTTCGGATAACCAATTATGTATGAAAAATATATTAACCTATCCCATGTTGAAATTCATTCAAATCCTGTCACGTCCTTAACTACCCTCTCATGATCGCGCCAGTGCTGCCAGCTAAAACACACACACCAACAAAAATAATATTGGAGTAGTCCAAGAAATAGCCAAAGATTGCAGCATCACAGCGCTAGTGAAAATATGCCAACTGGAAAGCTTTTGGTTAATTGACATTTCGATTGATAAATAATCAATGCTCTACTGTATATATATATATATATATATAATAAACAGCCAAAAGCCCAATACATTGATACCAACAATCACCATAATTAATCAAGCTATTGTCTTGCTATTACTAATAATTAGAAATTAAGTAATTTGGTAAATTTTTTACTATAAATTCATATTTATAAAAACAAATTTATAAAAATTGTTTTCTGTTAAACTTTGTAGCATTATCTGTAAAGCCAGTATAATAAGTCCTGATAATAGAAGATACAAATTTATAGTCGAAAATTTACATTTTAGTAAGAAAAAAGGATATTGAGGCATTTTAATTAAGTAATTTGGTATTAGAGATAGACGGTAGGTGCCATCTCTTATCTAAATGAATAATTATAATAATAATTAAATAATTTAGAACAGTCTGGAAGAAAAAAACTGGCCCGAAGCAGGATATGAACCTGCAACCTTTGCTTACTGTGCAATGTGCTGCCAATTATGTCACCCAGACCTCCGAGCAAGTCTTCACTTGCAGACATATTTAAACCTAGATATAACCATTCATGGTTCCTCCAGACTTTTCTAAATTATTTAATAAATTATTAATTATAATTATTAATTTAGATAAGAGATGGCACTTAATGTCTACCTCTAATACTACACTACTTAATTTTTAATTATTAATGATAGCAAAACAACAGTCCAATTAATTATGGCAATTTTTGGTTTAATTTTTTAAGTTATGGCAATAATAAAATCAATTTTCATATAAACTTTTTAAACAGTAATTGGATAAATGAAACAATTATAGATCCTGGATGATCTGACAATTACAATCTATAATTTTTATCATATGAAGAACCATATGACAAACTTAACAAACTTAAAATGTATGCCTTTAAAAAAATTAATACAGTAGAGTCTCGA